TTGGGCTGGTATTTTTTGCGATCATTTAGTTGGTCCTTTTTTCTTACCTGGAAATTTGACCGGTGAAATGTATTTGGAATTACTGGAAGACGTCACAGATCCTGCATTAACAGCCATAACTGAAAATCAGAATGATCCGCGGTACATTGCGAATAGGTTGATGTTCCAACAGGATGGTGCCCCACCACATTACGCATTACGTATTCGACAATATTTGGATCAAACGTTTTCAGATCGATGCATTGGTAGGAGAGGTGCCATTGAATGGCCCCCAAGATCGCCAGATTTATCACCTTATGTGCGTTCATTTAAAAAGCAAAATCTATGCTACTCAGTCAACATCATTAGAAGACCAGCGACAATGAGTGCCTTCAAATTACTCCTCAAATATTGTAAAATGTGCGACAACGTTTTGAGCAAAATCTTTATTATTGCATGGAGAGTCATGGTGGCCATTTTCAACATTTACTTGCCTAACGGGTCAGTTCATTCTTCATTTTTAAATTACTTTGCTGCCAAATGTATTCATCTCCACTAATGCTGATGTATTAGTTTTATTTAAGCTTTAAATCAATAAATCTCCAAAACCACTGAACTGAAGTACATTATTTTTATATCATTATAAAGGGAATTAAAAGAGCTTTAAAATAAGGTATGACTCGACCCCCTTTCTACTTTTTGGGGGTGGCACCCCCGCTTAGGGGACTGCACTTGCTAACGTGATTTTTTGCCAAACTTGTGTCCCCCTCGAAAACAAAATCGACGGGTCTGAGCGTTTTTCCAAAAAAAAAACTGAGCTGCATTGTGAAGTATGGCAGCATTATACGAAAAACAACGCTTGAAAGGTGTCATATGGTAAGGCGGTATTCTGATATATGCATATAACGGGTACAGTATAAAACGTTTTCATTAGGTTGACGTATTTTATTTCCCTATTTCTTATTTCCGAGAAGCAATTGTGTAATCGAGCCCATTAGGATGTGTTCTGTGAAGTTACATGAAAAATGATGGGATAATTGCTCTATCTAAAACTGCAGCTTGAACAGTTAGAGGTTTTTCGAAATTCTTATTTCGACGGATCATTAATATTTTGCGTGCATAAAAAGTAAACTACTCAAATAAACTAATGGAGCAAGAAAACGTTCAATTTTTCGGTCATTTTTCCCAGGCTGTATTCCGGTGAAAATGGTCATATCTTTAAAAAAGGCATTTTCAAGATGTAGGACTCTAGTTCTGATTTTTTAGACGAAACCTTTTAGGAGCAACAGTTTTACGTAATTTTAACAGATTGCGCAAGGGACATTTTTTGAAACTTGTTTGCCATCTTTTTAGTACACGAGATTGAACAAATTTTTTCTGTCAGGCTATCATATTGATCAGATAGCCTGTTTATTCAGCCTTAATATCCTGTTTTTAAAATCTCGATATGATCATTTGGCGTGATGACTCGGTAACTAGTCATCCCACAGAGAATGTAATGTATTTACGAAAACTGGAATAAATCTCCCATAAGATTTGGTTGTAATCTTTGAGGAAAATACCATTTCGTTTCCTTTGATTTTCAAACGGAAAAAACTGATTTTTTACCTTGTTTTGGAAAATCGACCGCATCCTTAGAACTACTACTACTAATAATAATAATAATAATAACGGTTTTATTAGCTGCAGTGAGGCGAAGTTAAGCCAGACGGCTACTCGTACACTCAACCCCACAACAGATGAAAAAAAAAGATACTTAAACACATAAACAAAATAATAACATACAAAAAAATACAGCTCATAAGCATGACAACATTGATTGCACGAGACGATTGCAGATAGTGTTGTGAGAGTTATAAATTTGTAACAAAAATAGTAGAAAATCGTAAAAAAAAGCACATGAACACAAGAAAAACTGAACTAAATGGACTCCAGCAGCTGACTTTTCATTAATTTCTTAAAAGAAGCAACCTGTTTGGATCGATAGCCACTGTTGCATTGTAATGCTTGACAGCTTTATAGGTGTAACCTCTTTCAAAGACCGAGGTATTGTGAGGAGGCATGTTAAAATTAGCATTAAATCTAAGAGCTCTGGTAACAAAACTACCACGGGGAAGTAATTTGCTTGCAAGGTAAGCTGTCTGTTAGATAATAGAACTTTATGCGGGTTCGAGTTTTAAAATTCATAATGAATCGATTAGAATAGAGGAGTTTCAAACGCATATACGTTACTCTAGGTAAGAAAGAGACATGCCGATCGAATCTCATATTTAAGTCAAGGGTAACACCGATATTCTTGGCTTAATGCACAAAAGGGATGAGTGTCTCATCCAAAACAACAAATCCTCTGCTTCATTTCACGGTAGGAGTTCTTCGAAGAGTGTAACATTGCAGTAGTTTTATTAGGATTGATCTTCAAGCAGTGTTTGTTACAGTAATCACTGATGTTAGCCAAATCTAAATTAACTTGCAAAGAAACGTCATCAACCTTTGATGGATCGAAACCAAACACTAACTGAGTATCAACTGCATAAATTTGCATACAGTGGACTAAACAGTCTTGCAGATCGATCGTATAAATCAGATATAGTAAGGGACCTAATACTGAACCCTGTGGAACTCCTGAAGGAACTGGCTCAGTGGAGGAAATTCCCTGATCAGTTTTCACTGTGTGTTGACGATTTAGCAAGTATGACTCAAAGAACCTTAGAACTATATCTGACATTCCATAATGAGATAACTTACTTAGTAGATCTGGTGATCGACCATGTCAAAGGCTTTCGAGAAATCTAACAGTACCAAGACGGTGTTGGTGTGATTATCTAAATTGTGAATGATGGAATCAGTAAGATGTAATAAACACGAAGTAGTGCTGTAACCAGCTCTGAAACCTGACTGATGTAGAGGAAATAAGTGATTTTGTTCGAAAAACTCCACTAGTTGTGAGTAGACAGCTCTTTTGAGTAGTTTTAATAAAAAGCATAATAAGGTAATTGGCCTGAGATCCGCGTATTGTGCTGGATGATTAGTTTTAGCTATTAGAATAATAATACCATTTTTCCAACTGGCAGGAAAGTAACCTGTTTCAAGACAGACATTAATAATGTGAGTTATATGGTCTATGGTATCAGGCAAACATAAGCAAACCATATTTAAAGTTAGACCATCAGAGCCACATGCCGTAGACTTAATGTGAGAGATTATATTGACAATGTCTTGCTGAGTAAGGAGTTTAAAAGCAAACAGAGGTGCATGCGGTGTATGGCGTCTATCGCTGTAACTATCAATCAAATTTGAAACAGCTGCAGCTGTCTGGAAAATTGAAAGAAAATAATTATTTAAAATGTTAGGCTCAAGGAGCATATCGCAACATGTTTCTGGGCTACCACATTCATCCTCCGCAGGTGTTTCCAAGCTTGACTAGAGTTAAGATTTCCGAAACGTGACATATTATGCTTTTTTCTCTCTTCTAAACGATGCAAGGGCATAATTTCTCAAAGCTTTGTAGCTGGCCCAATTCTGATCAGATCTGTCATGCTGATAGACAGCAAATGCCTCGCCTGTCAGTTGAAATATCATTTTCGAGTTAGGAATGAGCGAGGGCGCAGCAGGTTTTGTGACACGTACTGTACGTTGCGGACCGTAGAGATCGAATGACAAGGCTAATGTTTCTTGTACCTCAATGTTCAACTAAGAACGATGGCAGATCGATCCATTATACGGTTTCTCCGGATTGATTGCTTAAAGTTTGAAAATGATGCACATTCATTGTGGGATCCTATTCATTTCGCCTGAATATTTTCTAGATCCGCCGCTGGTTAGTATTTTTGTTTTTTGGAATATTCCGTGAATACACGCCATTTTTCTAATTGCTATTTTCAAAATTGACAATTCAAAAGAGACAACAGAAGATGAAAAATGATTTTTCAATTTTCAACCAGATTACAGGATGTTTTGATACAAAAATTTTGCTCGTTCGATTTCTTTCAAACTTCGACCAATAGGTCCGGAAAAACCGTTTTTTGAGGCCCGAAAATGTTTCCTTGCGCTGTTACGTTGCTCCTAAAATCTTTCGGCTGAAACACCTGAAAACTAGAATCTTAATGCTTTTTTGAAAGTCTCATTACGACCATTTCTCATCGAAAAACTACCAGTAAAAAGTTACTTTTTTCCTTTTTTCTTGCTTCCCTAATTTTTTTGAGTAGTGTGCGTTCTTAGTGTTTTCAGTTTTTTGTGAACTAGGAATGCTACAACCCTGGACGGACAGTAAGGGCCATTTTAGAAGATTTAAACATAAATAATACATAAAGGATCGCATATTAAGTTATAGAACACATTTTGGAAGTAAAATATGAATCAATAAATTAATTACCATTATTCCAAAATCGTCACAAAGGTAACTGACAGCAAATTGAATTATTTCTTTTCCTTAGCAACAAATAACCAAACAGGTATAACAATAAATACCGTTCGCCCAGGATATCTGTATTTTAAATTATAAACGAGTTGTAGATTTGGCAAACCCTAACGGGCAATATTTTTAACCCATACTGGAATAAAAAGTTATAATAACGTGTGTTTTTGATTTTTTAATTAAGAATAAGATTTTTCTAATTTTCTCGAAAACGAATCGATTGATTTTAAAAAATCAAACGTCAGAACGAAAGACCTTCCAAACAAGCTATTACTCGATACCCCTCGTGATTTAAAATTTTCAAGAGAATGACCCTGACTGACTCACATAGCCCCACATAGCCTTAGTTCATCAACAGTCTTGCCACAGCGTTGTGACTAAATTACTTGCAAACACCAGACAGTTTTACAAGTTCAAAGTGTTTTTATTCTGCAAGTTCAATTCTATCGCTGAATGAATTTTTTGTGAACCCATACCGAGCAGACTTGGCTTCTATGACTCTAAACACTTTTATAAATGCCCTGTTTTATATATGGTCTTGTATAGGATAAAGTACTTTTTTGCCTATGCGTACGGGACTTTTCTCATCAAGTGGAAAAAAAAACAATTTTATTATATAAATATATTTAATGACTATTTGATCTAAAATTACATGATCATTAATAGGATAAGTACAGTTTTCATTTTATCTACTACTCATTAGGGGAACGTGGTTTTTTAGTGACTGCATTCGCACTCGGGCGAGGAAAACCCCTAGAAAACCTCAACCGTCACTGCTAAGATCAATTGTATCAGGTGAAGAAGAATCAAGTCCATCCATAGTTCTGGTTTTATTTGCACAATCGAAAATCGCCAGCATGCCACAGTTATTAACCTAAAAAAAAGTAGCATTGAAGTAACGGTTTATACGAGGGCTATTTTTTAAGTAAGAACCGTTTTGTAATCAGAGAAATTTTATTTATGAATGCAAATTGTATCATAAACTAAAATATGAGCATTTTTATTTTTTTCCCTAGGACATCAGAAAATGACACTTAACAATGGTAGTATGTTTTGTAAGTTATGTGTATGCAAAATAACACGGTCTATTACTCCACTAATAACAAAGGCATATCAGCTTTATTTCGGTTGTAAACTAGGTCATCAAGACAAACGGTGGGCACCCCACATCTGCTGTAATACATGTGCTTCAAGTCTGAGGAGCTGGTTAAATGACAAAGAACGGTCTATGCGCTTTGCTGTCCCAATGGTTTGGAGAGAGGCTACAAATCATATTAATGATTGTTACTTTTGCATGGTACCTTGTGTTGGACAAGCCACAGGTTTGTCCAAGAAAAAAAAATCGGTTATTAACTACCCAAACATACCATCTGCGATGAGACCTGTGCCTCACAGTGACGAAAATCCTATTCCAAAACCCCCAGAATCCTACACTTGCGAATCAGAAAACGAATCAGATCATGGCGATCGAGTGATTCGTCAGGAAGAAGATATGCCATCAACGTCAAGAGATCCTGATTTTATACCGAGCACGTCATGCCACCAACCGCACAAAATAACACAATCAGAATTAAATGATCTTGTAAGAGATTTAGAACTTCCAAAATGTAAGGCAGAGTTACTTGCATCAAGACTGCAGCAGTGGAACTTGTTAGAAGACGATGTTTCGGTATGTGTTTTTCGTAAACGCCACAAAGACTTACAACCATTTTTCAATATGGAGAATAACTTGGTTTTCTGCAGTAACATTAACGGCTTACTGGCGGCTTTAAATATAAACTATAACCCAGAAGAATGGACATTGTTTATAGACAGTTCAACATTGAGTTTAAAGGCAGTGTTATTGCATATTGGAAATATTTTACCATCTCTTCCTGTAGGGTAAGCAGTTCACATGAAAGAATCATATGACAATATGAAGTACCTATTGACATGCATAAAACACGATGAGCACCAATGGCATATTTGTGGCGATTTGAAAGTTGTTGCACTTTTACTTGGGCTGCAGCTAGGCTACACAAAGTTTTGCTGTTTTTTGTGTGAATGGGACAGTCGGGCAAAGGCACTTCATTACACCAGACAAAACTGCCCTGTTCGTCAATTCCTAGAGCCAGGTCAAAAAAAATGTACAACATATGCCATTAGTAGATTCGAAAAAAAATTTATTACCAACACTGCATATCAAGTTGGGCCTAATGAAAAACTTTGTCAAGGCATTAGATAGAGATGGGTCAGCTTTTCAATACCTGCGTCAGAAATTTCCAAGACTAAGTGAGGCAAAGGTTAAAGAAGGTATTTTTGTTGGGCCACAGATTCGAAATATTTTGAAAGATACACAGTTTGAAAACACTTTAACAGGTATTGAAAAAAATGCTTGGAATGATTTCCGTCTGGTGGTCACTAATTTCTTGGGAAATAGAAAAGCTGACAACTATAAAACCCTTGTCAAAAATATGCTGTTATCGTATCAAAAGATGGGTTGTAATGTGTCTCTTAAGATTTATTTCCTACACTCACACCTGGACTTTTTTCCTGATAATTGCGGAGCCGTAAGTGATGAGCACGGCGAACGTTTTCATCAGGATATTTTAACAATGGAGAAAAGGTACCAGGGAAAGTGGAATCCTTCCATGCTTGCAGACTACTGTTGGAGTCTTGGTAGAGATGCTCCAGAAACGATCCATAAAAGAACAGCAAAAAGACAGCGCATATAGTGATTCTTATAAGTATATGAATCGTGTTACTTTTTTTAATATATCCTTAAAAATAAAAAGTTTTTTTTCTAAACCGCAACTAATTTTTTTATTTCATTGTCATTTTTGGATTCAGCGCCCTAAAATTAACAAAGAAGTGCACTTTTCCCACAAGATACAATTAAAAAGCTAAAATTTGTTGTCCAGATTATAATCTGTTACTCATGAAATAGTCTTGCAAATAACATTCGGGCATCTAATTTTTTCCGGTGAAAAAAATCGAAAAAAAAACACAATACAAAGTAATATTTTTTTAACAAAAAACATTCGTGCAGTTGAAAAAATCCTCGTCTTCAACTCGGATTTTTGTTGCCACTAACACTTGTGCATCTTGTAGAATAATACGTAGCAAAGCGTTTTTTCGATTTTTTTCAGAAAAGTTAGATGCACCCTTGACATTTACCCATGATAATCCCCCATAGTTCTCTGGCCAATGGAAACTGCATCTGTGTTGAAAAAAAATCTTCATTTAGTCTAGTCCGAAATAATTGTACGGTCTGGTTTTATTGGTGCAAGTTGTTCAAGGGGGTATTTAAAACGGACGCATAAAATGGGTAGGTACACCAATTTTTCTCGGAAAACTTTTTTTGAGATTCAATCGAAAGTGTTGACAGGAACGAAAAAACTTTTCATATAAGATTTTTACGTATTTATAAGATCTACAAAATGAAACCACACGTAAAAAGATCCGACTGATAGGAAAAATGTTATGACCGAAAAATGAGGCAAAATGCAAATTTTGGTACTTGTCGGTACTGCGAAGATAATTTCATGCAACTACTTGAAATTCTTCAAGTCGGTAGGATTCAGACTTCTAAATAACAACAACAAAATTAGATTATTTGGGTCAGGTAGTTTTTTGAGAATTTTTAGTTGATTATCCAAATTGTCTGGCCATCATTACTAGTTTATTGAGCAATATACATCCTGTGGTTTTCATATCGACTATTTCCCTCATCTTCATTTCTACCAGTCACACTCGTGCAATTTTGGATTACAAACGGTTTCCAGATGGAAAAATTAGTAACACTGCACCTGTCAGCAGTTTTTTCGAGCTTGCCCGCGGCAAAACATGACAGCTATTGTCGCCAAAAATTACAATACATTTGATATTCACGGTGCGCAATTGGTTCTTACTTTAAAAACGCCCCTCGTAATTCACTGACTTTTTTTTGATGAAGGTGTTAGAAAAATAAAATTTGGTGGAAGCTTTCTTCTGTGGCGCCGCTGCTTTTTGCAATGGGTTTCAAAAGTTATACGGGGTGTTCAAAAAATAGACGGAGATATTTTGGAGCGTGTTTCCTTGTTAAAATTATTTATAATAATTAATAAACCAATTCTGTCCAGTGACATGCAATGAGACGGTTTATATTTTTTTTTTCGCGAAAACGAAGTAAGATACGAAAAAATACAAGAGGCAAGGAAGTTGTATTTTTAGATGCTCAATCAAGCAACAAATATTACAGTTACAAAAAGGGTACATTTGTTTGCTAATAATATTTGCTAACGTGCCCCCGGAATTATTATATATTTAGGGCTAAATGAGCCTCTTAATACTACTTAATAATAACACTGTCCAATGTCAATAGAATGGAGTAAATGCTTTTAGAGGTATTAATAAAAAAATAATTAAATTTTTTCATATTTTTCAACAAGGAATCACCCTCTGAAATATCTCTGTATTCTTCGACCTCAGTGAAACATGAAGAATAAATAAGTTCCTGATTATGTAAAACATACCTTTTCACCATTTCAATTATCATTTCAATTGATGTTCGTTCTGAATGTATCAGCCTGAAATCATCTTTAAGGGCGTGAAGAAATATAACTTCTGGCGTTATTATGTTAGTTTCCCAAATATGCCCCTGAATTTCTTCAAATGTATGGAAATCGCGAAAGTTTTTAGAAGCTTTTGCTTGGAATCTGGCTGCAAATATTTCGTAAAACTTCATCAATATATTGACAGTAGACCATACTACTATTATCCACACATTTATCTGGAAAGAGAGTTCACATAAGTACATTTAAATAACACCTCTGCTTATCTTGAAACATCAAGAAAATTGAATCTGTATTTCATGCAAAATAGCAAAAATTAGGTAGGGTTTTGAGTGGAAAGCGTTTAGCCCTCTTAGGGTAAGTTTCGAAAATATATCTCTTGGGAACGTTTCCAAGATCCTCAACAGTTTTATATATGCTTCAGTGGTTCGTGAAGTTCAAAACCAACCTTCTTGATGCCGTACTCTCCAATGCTTACCCTGTAAAAATGTTGATGTCCATTTGATTGCTGTTTTCATATATTGCTGTACAAATCGGAGGATTTAATCATTCTTCACATGCTTTTATTGTTTATCTTCACTTTACTCGTGTATTTCCATGAAACGTTCATCCAGCTATATAGGCAGAACATTTTTTGGGACAGCTGCCATTATCATCAATATTCATTACATCACGTTTATCACGCTCGGGAGTGTCTATAACTTGTACTATTCCTGAAATTTGGAGTACCCCCCTCCAACGCCCGATAAAAATATTTGGGCAATGATTCTGAAAGAAAACCTGTAAGTTTTAGGACAGCAATTCTGTAAAATACGTAAAAATAAGAAATGTGCAATCACATCTTAGCTATAAATAGATATATTCGTAAAATATTTATCATAGTTCGTCACACTTCCTGAAATGCTCTCACTCTCTCCTAAAAGCTGAAACAAACTAAGAATAACACTTGCGCTACGATTTCAAAGCATAAATAATCATAGACAACATACCTAATAGGAACCATTTCATTTGTAAATACATTTTTTCAATAAATAATTGTGTTTTATCCAGCTGTTGATAGTAAAATAGATAATAGTGAATACAAAATATAATTAAAAAGCATATAATAATAAATATACATGTAGTTTTCTGGACCATCGCGGGGCTACAACCTGGAGGGAGTACCTAAGTTTTACAAACCACCTTGCATGCTTGCCGTAATAATCTACTACTAGCCCTACTATCACTAAGTATTACCAGAACTACTACGACTGCTACTTCTACTACTATTACTACTACTACTACTACTACTGCTACTACTACCTTCCTATCTAGTTACTTATCATCTACGGACACACTTATGAAACCTGAACTTTTCATATATCTCATCCCTCAGAAACACTGGACGATTTTACGTCAGCCATGTGTTTTCCAAGACTCTCCGAAAATGATTAACCACATGTCTTTCGTAACATTTCTTCACAGAAAAATAATAATTGTTTTTAATACAGTAGCTGGAGTGTATGGTGTATCTTGTAACCATACTTGCGTGTACTTACATTAACACCATTTTAATACCTAGATATGTTCTTTTAAATCCTGGATCCCTGTTTAACAGCCCGGCCATGGACCCAGAGGAATTCCTTCCTTCCCATTTCCCTCTTCTTGACGGACTTTTGCACTGTGAAGGCAATGACCAAGCCCAATAGTACTTTAGAAAAATGTACGAGAAACCCTAAAACATAGAAGTCCTGTATAAAATATAAAAACATATTTACCGCTGATGATGAGCAAGGGCATTATGTAGTGTTGACTGTGTCCCTCGTTGTGCCTCCACATAGCAGAATGCCCAACGTTGTCTGGACGAAGGAAATCCTAAATGCACTTTTATTTCAGTAAACTTCTATAGTCTCTGTAAAAAGTATAAACAGCAGTACAACGTTATTACAAATTCCCCTAACACAGTTTGGGCAGAAAAAGCGTCTCCGCATGTGAACAGATATAAAGCTTTCTTCTATCTAAAAAAAAGTTACGCTGGTATTATTTTCGTAGTTTAATTGCTTCCATTGTATTGTACTGATGTTTTCGAATATCTGGTTAAACAAATGAATATACATAAAACAGTTCGCTTCAACATATTGACTCCTGTTATAAAACCTGGTTCGCACGCGCATGGAAAATATCGCTTGCAAGTCTCGCACTACGAAAAAGAAATGTCGATAGATGGTCAAAATATATAACACAGAAGTCCAATTGATGAAAACACGTTTACCTCGATTATACCCACGCATGCGCAAGGGCATCTGCATCTCTCGATGTGCCCCTGCATATCTGAGCAAGGACGTGTTGTCTGTATCCCTCGATGTGCCCCCACATGGCAGAGTGCCCAAAAAAAATTCCCTAACATTTCCTTAGCTACTCGCTACTACCGACCACTTATTTGGAGTTTCTGAAGCGTACGTTTTATATGATTCTACCGATTCTCTCTATTTTCAAAATTTCCAACCGTGCGACAGCGTTTTGTTATTATTTTTCCTAACCTTTCTAGTGAACTGACGGCTTTTCTTAGTGATTCCTAATTAACTAAATGGGGCACCCTGCCTGGGCGGGGGCAGTTCGCAGAGTCGTCAACTAGTAGGTTTTACATCCTCGCAGCTCTTTGTCGTAGTCGCCTGTAAACCCGACACCAATAAGAAAACCCTAAATGCACTTACATTTCAGCAAACTGCTCTAGTCCCTGGAACAAGTAGAAACAACATGAGTATACAAGTACTACGTTATTAAATCTACTACTCTGACACTTTGGGCAGAAAATTCGGGTGGTACTATTATTCTCTCGAGCGTTTTCGCATTCTATGAAAGCTTATAGCCATAACGATCAAAAAAGAAGCAAAAAGTATGGATTTTTTTTAAAACTGTGGAAATATCTCGAAAATTAGAAAGTTTTCATTAAGGTTATGTTGATTTTATCTGCTTGAACTACCTCCCGTGTTACTCTGGTGTGTTATTTCTGGGACATCCTGTATAAATAATAGTTCGGTATAATACAGTGTGAGTCTTCATAAAGTGCACATATCAAAATCAGGGAAACTACACTCTATTTCATCGACGGATAAATCATCAAAAAAACATGAATTTGATTTTTTATGAATATATGAATATTTCAAAATTTTTAGTAGCAGCTTCTAACCATATTGAAATAACTCGTTGCAACTTTTAAACTAAATGTCCTATCATATTGGAATACATTTTATAGTGATTGCTGGTAAAAGGACATGCCTGAAAAGTGAAGAATTCCAGGAAAAGTAATGACGTCCATTTAGAATAAAGAAAATTTTGATGATAATCGGTTTCATCATTTTTACAATAATTTCAAATTTTCTATAAATGTCGTCCCTTGTACCCTACCTTTTTTTATTTGTAAGTTATTCTACATGTTATCAGCTTTATAAAAGTAAAAATTGCACGTTTATTACTCAAATGTAACAGTTTCTATGAGTGTTTATAAAAAAGCCCATGCGCATCGTCTTGCTAGGCACGATTGTTTATCATGTAGATACCTTTTTTTGGTGATTCAATGTAGAGTCACAAGGGCTGAAGTACGAGTGGGGAGGCGGGCCCAGTTGAAAACAATTGAATGTTGGGCAGTTAGGCAGCTATTTGTGTTTCTCCTGCCAACTTTATCAGTTTCGTTTGCTACATATCACGCTTTCGCTTTTTGGTCGCGATGCCACGTATAAGTGATTTCCCTCCGGCACACATTGCCGATATCCATTATTATTATGGAATGTACCGAGGAAGTGCTAGAGCTGCTTGCACAGCTTATCTAGCAGCATTTTCAAATCGACGCCCTGTTCCATCAGCCCGTAACTTCCAAGAAGTACATAGAAGACTGGCTAACATTGGACTTGGTTTGCCTCGAGATCGCCGCGAACCAGGTGTTATTATTCATGTTGCTATCGAAGAAGCCATTTTGGATGATTTGTTTGCTGACCCGACTACTAGTACGAGACGTTTGGCGTTACGTCATGGCATATCCCAGAAATCGGTTTGGCGCATCTTGAGGAAAGCAGGGTTGCATCCATACCATTATCAAGCACTTGCATGAAGATGCGGATTGGCGTCCAAGGTGCGTTATGTCAACATGGCTTTTAATAAAAACAAGAGACAATCCTGAATTCCCGAAAACAATTCTGTGGACAGATGAATCTCAATTCACGAGAGACGCATCGTAAACTGTCGTAATTTACATAAGTGGTGCCCAAAAGATGAAAACCTAGGCTGAAAAGGGCTTCAACATTTCAAGTGAAATTTTCTGTAAATGTGTGGGCCGCACTGATTGACAACTTTTTGATTGGTCCAATAATACTCCCAAGGACATTAAACGGAGAGAGATTTCTGGAGCTTTTGCGGACTGAACTGCCCTTGCTGTTGGAAGAAGTGCCGCTGCAAACCCATCGAAGAATGATGCTTCAAATGGCTGGATGCCCTGCCCATTACTCGCTGATTGTTAGGTCTTTTCTTAATGAAAATTATCCAGGCCGCTGGATCGGTCGACAAGGACCTGTTGGGTGGCCGGCGCGTTCCCCAGATCTCACACCTCTCGACTATTTTTTATGGGGGACAATGAAACAAAGGGTGTACAGCAGTTCCATAAACAGCGAAGCGGAACTTGAAGAAAGAGTTTTGCGTGTTGCAAACGAAATCAAAAATGATCCCGAGAAGATTCGTAGGGCAACTCATCAAATTTCACTTCGCGCTACAATGTGTTTGCAGCAACGGGGTGGCCATTTTGAACATTTGATGCATTAAGCCAAAATGATTATCCTATAGACAAGTCTATTTGATTTTATTTGTTAAAGATAATGAATGATTCATGTAGGTTTATACTGTTGTTTTATTCCTACTCTGGCCTTGAACTGAGTTCACTGCTTTTTGAAACGCTGATTTAAAAACTTGTATCTAAGTAATAAACTTGCAATTTTTCACCATTAGGAAGCTAATAAAATGTAGAATAACTTAACATTTAAAAAAGGTAGGGTAAATAGGACAATTTTTATTGAAATTTAGCAATTGTTTTAAAAATCATTGAAAAAATAGTGAGTTTCAGCATATTCCTCTTTATTTTAAATTGATAGCATTTAATTTCGTGGAAATTTTCACTTTACTGGTACGGCCTATTATTTGCAATCACTACAAAATTTATTCCAATATGATAGGACATTCAGTTTAAAAGTTGTAACGATTTATTTAAATAGGGTTAGCAGCTGACTCTAAAAATTTTAAAATATTCATAAAAAATCAATTATTGTTTTTAATTTTTTTTTGACAATTTTTCCGTCAATAAAATAAGGTGTAGTTTCCTTGATTTTGCTATGTGCACTTTATGAAGACTCACACTGTATATTAACACCTTTTATTAAAACTGGTTCGCACGCACATGGAATATACCCCTTGCACGTCCGTGGACGTCGTAGTTACCAACGATGAGCCACTGCCAACAAATTATCAAAATATGATGAAAAATTGTCGTAAGACAATAAATAATCACTTAATTTTCCTGTATCTGTATCCTTGGCCTTATGGAGCATCTTTGCAAAAGAAAAACGAACATTTCCAAATATTCCAGAAACCACTATTTAACGACAATCTTACAGAAAGCTATATTCTTATTGTTCAAAACAGTATAAACTATAAAGACAGGTAGTTCCATAAGTAAAACAAATACTTTTGGGTTTTTGTAGCTTAGTTTTTATTACATACTCTTTTTTACTACTGTTTATGAATTATCCTAATATCGCATAAAGTCTACCAAAGCATATCTTCCGTGAGATAACCGTTACAATCGTGTGGGAAGACAAATACATGGTGTCCCAGAAATAACACACCACAGTGACATGGAAGGGATCAATCAGGTAAAATCAACAAGAACTTAGTAAAAGTTTTCTAGTTTTCAAAATATTGACCTTGTTTTTTTCGTCACTATTTTTTTGCTCCCTTTTTGCCTATTATGGCTATAAAAAACTTCTAACTAATGATTTTTTCCTGAGCTACCATTAATAGTAGGTTGAAATAACCGAGTATTCAGTTCATTGAAAACTAGCAAGGTATGCAAAAAAAAATAAATTTTGTTTCAATGTGTAATGGCTCCTTTAAAAATAGTATAACATTTGTAGCTTCTTTGTACTAACAATTGAATAAGTTTTATCACTGTCGTAATTCTTGCGAAATACTGCAAGTAAAAGATAAGTGCAGCCATATTTTGTAACCAAATCACTAGGGAATGAAACGACCTAAACATGTCATTGACTATCTCGCTCTCACATTCATTGTTCGGTGACAGCATTATCTCACCATGAGAAACAGAGGTG